AACTGGTTATCAGAAAAGATTACTTGAAAAATATGATGCCATTTTCCTTAAAGGTTGTGTCATATAGACAAGAAAATGAAGAACCTTGTTCCAGTAAATCTTGAAACTGATTGACAAGAAATTGTAAGAAGGTAGACTCTGACTGAATGTTAGAAACTTTCACACCTTGGACTTAGAATTGGGCCATTCTGGTTCCGATTCTGTTCAATCATTGCTGCTCCATTCCTTCATGATCTGTACTGCAATTGTAAACATCTGTTTTAAAATAGCCGATTCCAATCAACTTGAATTTATTTATTTTTGAAACATTCTTATGCTTGGTGTACTTTTGTTAGGCATTAGAATCTATTCTGAAAACATGAGCATTAGACATGCAGAATACATTTGCTAATGCTAAATATAGTAGGGATGTGCAAATCCTTCAAGCAACACTTGACAAGATGTAGGAATACCTTGGGATCTACGCAATGATTATATAATATAGTTTTATTAATTAAGTACATCTGTTCGAATCACTAAACCATTCATATCTTTTAAAGTAGCTGCTTTGTGACACCACTTGGTGTGACACCAAGTGTCTGGGTATGCACATCCATGCAGAGATTGACAGAAACAGCTTGTAAAGCAGTCAAACAAGACTGGAAAAAGATGTGGTAGCATTAAAATGTTAATCAAGTTTACTTTTTAACTAGGTTTTTGCGATATTTCCAACTTAAGTGCTCCATTTTTTGGTAATTATACAGCTTAATAAAACTGTCTGCCTGTTCCATTGACCATTGCCTGTTTTTGCTGTTTGTGGAATTAATTAAATGAAGAAAAATACATAATGTAATCCGGGAATGAAGCAGAGCTACATTCTGACACTTTTAAAATTTTGTGTTAATTCACAGGCTTAAGCCATGATGAAACCCAGATTCTAGCCCTCCATATTAAGTAGTAGTTCTGCTCCATTCCACACTTGCTGAAGATACCCTCTGAAGCAGTCTTTGTGTTATATTTTCTGAAAATAATTCCATTTTACTATGCCTGGAGATTGATAGCTCTAACATAAACCGAATCAGTGTCTTCAGATATTTGGGTACCTGGTCCCATCACTAATGGGAGGACAAACCAAGGTTCCAAAATTTGTAAATGCAGTTTTATATTCTGCCAATCACTGTGATGATGGCTACGATCATTTTCAGGACAAAGTCTCAGTCACTTTATAGATGACACACAGATTTGTTTCATGACTTAAGAGTAGGAGGGAGATAAAACTGCTGGGAAGTGTCTCACTGTGTATCGAATTCTTGCTAAGTCTAGAATCTGGCCTACATTCTACTTTATTATAAAGCTATATGAACAGAATCTTGGAAGTCTGAAAGTACAATTCTCCCACCATCATCTTTATAGCTTAAGAACTCATGTTATTAAGCCTCTTGGTCTTCCTACTATGCAGCTGCAAAATACTTCCTCTTATCTGATCATTCCCAAGGCAATTTATCTTCCAAGGTCATTCCCATATACCATTACGTTTTTGGACTCTATTCCTTTAAAGGCTGGTAAAATATACTATAGAGTCACATGCCATACATCACACTTGAATACTGTAAATATTATGAAAAGATCTTGTTCATGACTCTTTTAACATCCTGTAACATTAAAAAGTATTATAAATTTCATTTAAAGTGGTACTTCACCGTACTGTTAAGCATTTAAATGTCATCAATATCAGTGGATATTAAACATACCTTGCATTATCTCTGGTCTTGTCATAATTTCCTTTATTTTTTTGTACTTGTGCATGGATTCACATATCAAAGGGTACATTATATAATTAAAATTTAAATATCAAAAGGAGAATTCTGTAGTTGGGTTATAGTACCCGTATAATTGTCGGTGTCAGAGACCAATGTAATCTCTTGATGATTAATTTCAACTAATGCAGTGTTCATTAATTGAAATAATCTATTAAATAATTTGCTGAATTTTATCAGTACTTTTAGCACTGCTGTACATTATTTGCAGTGATGTTATGCAATATCTAATATTTCTAGTTTATTACACATTGTAGATTTTATGGCTGCAGATATTTTAGAATGGTTGTAATCTTAGAATTATATGTGCTTACTTAATCATACCTTCCATTTATCATTTAATAGTTAAAATATTTATATGTTTAATTTTATCACACAGTTGCTTATATATACTTCATGTGTTATGCACAGACAATGGCATAGGTTTTTAGAAGCATTTTATCAGTGTTTTGATGTGAATACATATGGATTTGCCAAGCCATATATTTTAGGCATCCTTTTAAATAGTTGAAGTAAGAAACATAAAATGGTTGGTTCTATTATTATACCAATTATTTCCTAGTAATCAAATTAATTTTACTACAATTAATTTAGTGCAATTGATTATTCTTTAATTATATGGTTAACTTACCATGCTATTCCTCCTGCCAAACTAATATACAGTTTCCATTGTTTATGTAGGGGCATCTGCATTTGTAATAGGTAATACTTTGCAATAATTAAACTCTCAGGCTGTAATGTTAATATCAAATTCGTAGTGGAATTCTGGTAAGTGTCCTGGATCACTTATTAGGAATCCTTTTTTATTTCTTGTTCCCACTGAATAACAATAATGTGAAAAAATAAGTACACTCCATTTTTTTTTAAAAAAACTTTTTTAGCATATTCCAACATACAGATGTTTGATCTTTAATTCAACAGTATTGTGAGATTAAAAAGCAAATGATAAAACAAATATCATTCCACTTTTTACATTTTGTAGTCCATTGTGGTGGTGGTGTTATTAGCGTATGGTGTTATTAGGACATGCTTGTGTGCTTCCCAGTGTGGGCCTCAAGAAAGCGAGCTGGCTTTGAGCTAGAAAGTAATACAAGCATCTCTTCCTGCAGTGTCATCTAAGGCCCCTTTTCTTCACCAGAGCCATCTTGCAAATGGGTGTTGCAACTGGCAAGGTCCCAAGCCAACAAGAATCTGACTGCCTTGCACAGAGTACCTATTTATCTACAAACACAGAACATGATTTTGAACTGTTAGGTGGACAGAAGCTGAGGCAAGTGGCAGGAACTCACCACCACCACACAGTGCCAGGACCTGGATCACTGGAACAGACGTCATCTCCAGCACCATTAAGTCACTGAAGCACCATGCCTCAGTCTATTGTGTAATTTAAATAAGCAAAATGTGTACTTAGAAAGAGTAGGTATGCACTTAATTTCTAAGGAAAATACTTAAAATAAGAATCAGCTGAACTAGATCAGGTGTATGAGTTTAGGTGTTCATTAGGGAGGATTTGAAAGGAACCTGCCTTATTTAAATCTCAAATATTTAACTTAATTGGGGTTTTTTTGTTGTTAAAGTGTACAATATCACCAGATTGAAAGAGTTCTCTGAGGATTTGAGAAAGGAGGTTAGTAATGCCTATGGGAAGAGATTTAAAATGATCTCCAAACAATTGGACATCAATTGTTCCACTGGCCATCTACAATTATCTAACAAGTGGAGAAGATTCCAAACAACTGCCAATTTACCATAGTTGAAGAAATTTGCCCTGGCTATCTCAGCAAATTTAGAGAGTAGAACACAAGATGCTGAAAAAAGTATCCAAAAAACCCAGAATTTCATCATACAACCGATGGGGTTGTTGCCAGGATTGATATCCCAAGTGCGTTAGTCTACTGCACAAATTAGATCTACAAGTATATGGAAGGCATCCTAGGAGAACAATATTGTTGTCCAGAAAGAACTTCAGGGCAAGGCTGAAGTTTGCTCATGAACAGCTAGTCAAAGTCCAACACTTCTGGAACAATATGCTCTGGAGAGATGAAGCAAAGATAGATTTATTTATCAATAGTACCGGTAAAAATGTTTGGCAAAAAACAGAGACAGCATTTTACCAGAAGAATCTGATACCAGAGATAAAGCATGGTGTTGGAAATGTTGTAGTTCAGACTGCTTTGTTGCATAAAGTACTGGATTCTTCATTGTATCAGAGGGTGCTTGAGATAATATGAGACCATCAGTCAGAAGATTGAAGTTCAACCAAAAGCAAACCTTGTAACTTGACAGTGACTCTAAATATTCCAGTAAATCTACGAAGGGATGGCTGGGGGAAGGGGAAAGAAGAGATATACAAGTTCTGTAATGACTAAGTCAGAACCCCAATCTAAATCCCATGGAAATGCTGTGGACTGAACACTGTGCATTGAAGAAACCCCTCAACCTCCCCTTTCACACAGGTTTTTTTCATGGGGAAGGGTGGTAGATACTTTTCAGTCTATGTCAGAGACCAGTATATAGTTAAAAGAAATGTATGCTTGAGATTGTTTCTGTCTAAGGGCCAGATTTTAAAGCCAAGGCGTGTGCTTATTTTTTCCATAAAGCAATGGTTAAAAGGAAACGGTACATTTGTTAAATTTTGGTTGAATAAATGGTTTTTATTTTTCATAGTGGTTTTGTTCAATTTATTTTTATATATTGTTTGAATGAAGATAACATCTCAAAAAAGAAAAAAAAATACATGGAGTGTGCTTACTTTTTTTACCCAACGGTTTGGAGTTTTTCAGTCATCTACATAAGATCAGCAGAATCTAGTTGATAATATTTGGCTTCTTTTTGCTGAGTTATTTATTTGATGTTGCTAAACATTCAGGATCAGTAGCTGCATCCAGCTTACGCCAGCATGGCCACTCCTAATAAATCAATTGAGATGCGGCAAGAGACTTTTGATTTGAATGAGGGTGGATTTGTTGGAGCCCTGACAATGGTGAGTCTCTTACCTGATAAATAGATGCTTGAGAAAATTATGTACATAGGAAAAAGTTGCACAAGCTTTAAACACACCCACATCAAGACTGCAGTTGTATACAGAAAGAAAGATTTGTATGTCAGAGTGATACTCTACAGCTATAGAATTCTGGAAGCCCTAAGATAGAGAAGGCATTATGTGTGTATTTCACAAGGCATTCTTCTGGTTTTGTTTTGTAGCCTAACAGCAGTGGTCAAGTAGTAGGGAAAATGCCTGGCCATTTTACTCCAGTTTTGGCACCCTCTCCCCATCACAGTACGATGAGACCTGTGACCCTGACTATGACAGACACTAAGCCCATCACTACATCCACTGAAGGTGAGGCATCTTCACCTACAGCAACCAGTAAGTATTTTGCCTAGGGAAAATCAATGTCCATCAAAGGATCAAAACACTTTCCAATTCAGGCCAGTAAAGGCACCTTTTCCTCCTATTTGACCAAGCAGACACTCACAATTAATGATATAACATCATGACAGTTTTACATTTAGTCCTCGACTTAACAACTAGAATTGAGACCAAAATTTCCATTGCTTAAGCAAGATGATTGTTAGGTGACTTGTGCCCAATTTTTGCCACTGTTGTAAAGTGAATCACTGCACTTTGAAAGTGAATCTTATGGTCGTTAAGTGAATCTGGCTCCCTTACAATTGACTTTGTTTGTTGGAAGCCAGCTGGGAAAATTGCAAGTGCCAATCACATGACCCTGGGACACTGCAATCATAAATACATGCTGGTTGCCAAGCACCCAAATTTTGATCATGTGACCACAGAGATGCTGTAACAGGTATAAGTCCAAGGTCCAGTTGTAAGTCAGGTTTTTTTTTAGTGATGTTGTACCTTTGAACAGTCATTAAACAAATGATTGTAAGTTAAGGACTATCTGTATTCTATAGTTATTAAAAGTCAAATTACTCTGCAACCTTTCTGATAGAGCAGCCACTGTAAAGAGGATAACTAATTTGACCAACGACTGCCAATGGAAAATTAAAGCACATTCAGTTTTTAAATTTATGATGGACATTCTGAGAACCTTCAGAAGCAGAGTCAAGATTTATAGCTGCAAAACTGCTGACATCTGAAATCTGGAGAGAGAGGAAGAGATCTAGCTGCTTGCTCCTAAGTGAGCTTTCTTGAAGGCAGATCTTGTTTCACAACACTAGACCCAATTTATATAAGTGATTTTATTCGTTAGAATAATGAGTACCCTTCAGAATAGCTATATTTGAAGAGATTTAAAAACATCTGTGTAGCACTCAAACTGTGCCCATTATCCTATAGTCTTCAATGGAATTGCAGTTTTAGAACAATACTTTAAACTTATTTGAATCAAATTTCAACATTAATCATTTCAACAAATTGCAACATTGTGGTAGTCATATTAAGTCTACTGGAAAAGAAACCTTTTACATGTTGTGTTATCTATCCATTTGCGGTAATGGCTCACCATATCCTATTCAATGGACAGTTTCAAGCACAATGGTCACTAGTGATATGCAGATAGTGGCACGAATTTGAGCACTGAATAATATACACATTCATTTATTTTCTTATTCATTGCTTCCACTTGGAAATACATCTGACTAGTTTTCATAAAATGGTTCAAGTAGTCCTTGAATTAACCTGCATATTAGTATAGATGTATTTTTGCAATTATAGAACAAACATTAATTTATTGACTACAATTCATTTAGCAAGTACTTGCAATAAGTGTTAATGTGAGATGATTTGATAGGGCATGCATCAGCATTTAAATTAAACATATTTAAAAGAGAGATGGGAAACATGCGGTCCTCCAGATGCTGCTGAAACAACCCCCAGCAACTATAACTATTATGTCATAAGAAATGCAGGACCGGACATCAGAGTCCATAGATTAACATCACTTCTTGTTAAACCATTAGGAAAAACGATACCAATTGAACTAAGTCTGAAATATACTCATAGCAATAGCACTTTAGACTTATATACCACTTTACAATGCTTTGCAGCCCTCTCTAAATGGATTACAGAGTCAGCATATTGCTCCCAGCAATTTGGGTCCTCGTTCCACCCAGCTCAGAAGGATGGAAGGCTGAGTCATCCTGAGATTTGAACTGCCAAATTGTAGGCAGCCAGTAGTTGGCAGAAGCAGCCTGTAGTACTGCACTCTAACCACTGCTCCACCATGGCTCATTACTGTAGCTAATAAAATAGAGAGTTAAAATGAGAACAGAAAGTATGTTAGCAATCCTGCGTGCGATGGGAAAGTGAAACAGCTTCCATTCCAGTAAGAAAGTGGAAGAGGAGTTGAATTTTTACTCAACTTCTTAAAACAGCCAAATTTCTGTATGGTTGCATGGGAGAAAAGCTGTTTTCTTGCAAAGATCCCAGATTCTTCTGCCAGCAGTACTGAAGATTTTAAGTCTGTGGATTTTTTTGTAAGTTTAACTTTGACATATAATGCATCCAGGTTTCTGGCAGAAGCTCACTCTTGGTTGATAGTAACCACTATAACCACTGTTTGAGAGAGTTAGGTTGGTTCTGCTATGATTAATCTAACATTAATATAATTAATCAGGTAATAGTTTAAAAACTATTTATAATTTTTCATTTCTGAAACTTATACTTTTCAACAGCAGCAAATAAGTTTTTAATGATCCAGAGTACCACATCTGTCAGAACAGAATGGGAATGTGGTTCAGATTTGATCTGGTTGTTAGAGTTTTCATTAAATCTCACCAATGTTCCATCTCAACAGAGCACTCAGGAACCATTACTCAAATAATATGTTAAATAGTGTTAAGGACACATAGGGAGTATTAAATATGGTAATAGTATTTCTTTGAGGGCTCATTATAGGTCTTCAAGAGAAGAAACATAATACAATAGCAAAACATACTTAAATAAATTTTACTACTGCATGAAGATTTCAGTTTTTCAACGGTAATGTGTACATTTTTAATGTAGCCTGAAAAATGGCACAGATGACATCTAAAATTGATTATAATTTACATTTTTATTAGTTTCACTATGTATCTAAGAGATAGCTTTACTGAAGAATATACTCACTTTTAATTCTACTAAATCAGTGCTTAAGATAAGATCTGTACACAAAAAGGCACCAACACTTATTTATCTGTGATTATATATTTTTTGTTAAGTATTACATGTCTACTTAAACTTTTTATTTAAAAAATGTTAAAATGATTCTTCCCATTACAATTAAGAACACCCACATTCCTACACCCCACTGTACATACATTATTTATTGTAACTCTTCAGTGGATTTTTAATAATAATACTTTTAAGAAACCATATACATACTATTTTGCAAAAAGTGAGTCTACATTTTTGAAATTAGTCCACCTTCTATTTATTCACCTTTCATTCTTTAATGATTTTGGTTATATCAGTTAAATCATTACAAAATTATGGATACTGTGATTCTAATTTAGGAAAAAGAGCAAAATGACCAATTTCACTTGAGAGACTACAGGTAGTCCTCGGTTTATGATGACAATTGGGACCAGCAAGGGAGTTGTTGAGTGAGTCATGCTGGATTTTATGACCTTTTTGCCATGGTTATTAAGCAAGTCACTATAGTTAAGTGAATCATGCCTTCAATATGTGAATCCAGCTTCTGCCCTTGACTTTGCTTGTTAGAAGTCCGATGGGAAAATTGAAAATAATAATCGCATAAACACCGGGACTCTGCCACCATCATAAATATGTGCTGATTACTGGGAGTCTGAATTTTGATTATGTAACCATTAGGATGTTGCAACAGTCGTAAGTGCGGAGACTGCTCATAAATCACTTTTTAATATGATATCTTCAAACAGTCACTAAATGAACAGTTGTAAGTTGAGGACTACCTGTGACCCTGAGCAATCAACAGTTGCTTGTCTTTCACTGGAAATGGACTTATTCTTGATTCAAAGAGTAACCTACAGATGAAAGGTTTCATCTTCTATTTTTCATGCACATGATTCAACAGAAAAAAATGTTAGGACCCTGAACCTCCTAGGGCTAAGCTGAATGAATATCAGTTCTTACCTTGTCTTTTCTTCACAAGTACTTAATTTTGAATACTGATCATAATATTATAATTTCTACCAGTTAATTAAAATAATTAGCTCTACCTGAAAAAACCATTAATGCCACTTTAAAAACAACTCTTAAATCAACATTTGCATTTTGTATATGGATAGTATTAGAAGCAATGTACCTTAGACCCATACTTACACAAAGAGTTAGTTTTAACCTTGCTTGTGCTTCCACTGGTAGAATTCTAATATAAACTGGTAAAAGATGAGAATCAGATTGAATTAACATCTCTTAAATGAAAGGGGGGGGGGTTAAATGATTTAGAAACTATTATTGATAATGTAGTTCTATTTTCATGCAGATTCCATTGAAGTCAATAGGCAGGTTTGAATTATGCCCTTAACCTGATTCATGCTTCATAATTCTGAGTCTCTCATATCTGAATAATATGAGGTAGGTTTCTGTCTTTATCAATATGTTTTGTTCTTCCTTAATCAGCCTATACAGCTTCAGGTACCTCCCAAGCCAATCGATATGTGGGATTAAGTCCAAGAGACCCTTCCTTTCTACACCAGCAACAGGTGGGCAAGTTTCACATAGGTATTAACAATGAAAAATGCAAATATTTGCAGCAAGTGCCTTCTTATTTGCTATCACTGAACTTTAGAACAGAATCTCAAAGGATTAAGTAGCTTTATGAAGCCTGTAATTTAGGAAATTTCCTGTGTTTACCTGATAAACCTTTTATGAATCTTAAAAAAACAGAAACAATTATGGTCAGAATCAAGGAAAATTGATTCACTAGCTATCAAGTTTTTTAGTATTTCAGTTTTAAACATTTAATATATTTTTGCACTAGCATCCAGTAATTCCAAAAGAAAAATTATATAATCGCATTATATTGTAGACGTCCTGATTCCTAAATTATGAGGGTTAAATGCTTTGTGATATCTTGTGATGGAAAATCTTTTTCTTTTCCCCCCTGGGTTCTGATAAAAGTTACATTTCTAGTAGGATTTTATACATTACATCTCATTAATATTGGACATCTAATGCGAATATTTTTTTATAAACTGAAAATATATATTAAAAAGTGACACACAGGGACATAGTAGAATTTATTTATTTATCATGTTCATTTGGCTACCCATCTAAAGAAGCAGTTCTAGGCAATGTAAATTAAATAGAAGAAAATTGAATTCTAGTTGTCCAAAAGTAATGTTTGGTTCATGGTAATGAATACGGTTTCCTTGTCATTATAGTTTGGTGGGCATTTGTTCATGTGAACCTTTCTTATTGGGGTACTGTACTGATGAATCTGGAACTATTTTTTGTCCTCCATGCCGAAAGTGTATTATTTTGTTCTTGTTGTTCAGTTGCTAAATCATGTCTGTTTCTTTGCGCTAAATGGGCCACAGCACAAAATCAGCAAAATCCATAGAATAAGATACTTTGGATTTTAAATCCCATCAGCCTCTCTAGTATGTCCAGCACTAAGGGATTATGAAAGTGGTTGTCTAAAACATCTGGAAAGCACCCATCCCTATATTAAATCACACTATATTGAAAATGCTTGGATATAGCAAGGGTTGGTGAAAGCCATTTGTGAAAGCATCAAAGAAAGATAGTAAAATATTAAATAGGTATTAGCTATTTAAATCAATTCTTATATGATACTTATGCTTTGATAAAGATCACATTATATCAAGATGGTTTATAAAGAAATATAAATGAAACTGAAATAGGAATAGTTCCTAATTACATAAGTAGATACAAGACATTTAAAATTGCAAGTGGTGTTAAATTAGCTATAGTGTCCTGGACTTGTTTCCATCAGCAAAACTGTAGAAATACCATTATTTGCAATTAGGGATTTTTAAAATTTATCCTGCCCTGCCTTTCTTATCATTATTTATTAATATTAATTATAATATTCAAAATGAAGTTCCTTCTAGATATTCAATATTTCAAAAATAATAAAATCATTTAAAATCATTAGTAAAGCGGTAACCAATCTTAAAATATCACTTAGAAAACTTGACACTTATTTGCAATACTGGTATTAATAATGCTTCTTGAAATAACTTCCTACTGCATTTTGTGTTTACGACATTAAGAATAAATATCTCTCTTTACAGTAAAGATAGTATTATGTTAAAGAGAAAGATAGACTTAAATAAATAAAAGTATACACACACACACACACACACACAAAACTTTTATTAAACTCAAGACAGTATTCACAATGCTTCCATTTTCTTCACGAACAACAGCTTTGTGAAATGTGTTGAACTGAGAATAGCATACTGACTCTGAACATGCCAATCTTTTATAAACCTACAGTTAAAGGTAAAAACTATTAACCTCATAACTGGAATTTGTTTTTATTGTTCTGCACTTTGGAACTGCTTTAACAACAAACATGTAAGTTAGAAACAATATATAAATGAATAAATATCACCATCATATTGGCCATGAAATGGTATCAGAAAAAAGTGAGATTAATTCCAGAAAAATATAACTCAAAAATCATAAAATATTCTCGCTGCACATTTTAGTACAGTATTTTTTTTTGCTTCTGCTCCATGCACTAAATATCCCATTTAAATAAGAGGCTTTTTAAATCCTTACACTATGCAAGATTGTTTAATACTGTTTAATAGAACT